CTTCCTGAAGCCCCAGGATAGGATAGGTGCACTCTTGTGGGTTTTCAGTTCCCCTGTGCTTACCTCTATCCTAAGACCCATCCACTGCATCATAAATACCTGCTTACTTGCACTCTCTCCCCAGTACACTCTCAGCCCCTTGAGAGCAGGGCCTTCCTTTTCCATCTTTCAATTCCCAATGACTAGCTCAGGGTCAGCACATAGTAGGGGCTTAGTTCCTATATGCTTGGTGAATGCATTGGTGGACACTGAATCAGAAGGCAGAGCAGAGCAAGCCCAGACGGGCCCAAGGGCAAAAAGGTGGAAGGCACAGGCTGCTGGTTCTAGTGTCTAGCACAGAAACAAGGCTGGGAGGATCCCGGGGACAAGACCTTTGAGACCACCTCTCCCTCCAACCGTGAGAGACTAGATCAGACATTATTTTTCTATCTTGCCCTTTTTGTGGTACAGTCAAGGGGAGTCGCCTGAAAAGGTCCTGATCCGCAGGAGGATGGAGGGAGAGGGGTGAGCTGGGGCAAGTACGGAGCTCTCTTCTCCACCTCTCCACACCAAATAGTCATGATGGCTTTGCTGGGCTATGCAGACTCTGCTAACATCTCCACGAGGAGATAATTGTGACTGGCATCTCCTGCCGGCCCCCTGTCAGCTTTGGACTGCTTACAGATTTTAACAAGTATCTCCCTGGCCTTTAGTGTGTAGAGGCCATATGCCCCAACAAGACTTGAGGAGAATTCGCATTGCTTTTAAGAAGGTCACCAATGACCTCCCATTGGTCACATACTATAGACCGTTTGGTCCTTATCTTGTATGACTGCCTGGTGGAATTTGACACTGGGGCCCTCCATGCTTGAAATACTCTCTTCTCTTGGATTCTCACTGGGTTCTCCTCACTCATTCATTCAACACACATACGAGCTTCTGCTGGGTGCCACAGAGGCATTGTGCCGGCTACCAGGGATTCAAAGGTGAAAGGAAGTCTTTGAAAGCATGTTGCTCACTGGCTAGTGGGGAAAAATTCATGTCAATAGAAAAAGAAAATAATTTGAGATGGCTTAGCCTCAGGATCGGGTGCAGTGGGGTGGGTGTGGCGCTTTCTGATTTGAATCCTGTCTCTGCTGCTTGCTAGCCGTGTGGCCTTAGAAAACTAACTCTCAGTCCATAAGACTTCTCCGTTACCACTTATTTCCATGTGAGGACAGGGATTGGGTAAAGTGTAGTATCCATTTGCCAGTTGCATTCGATCAAAATTCATATTATTTTAGGTTTTTACAGTACTTGTACTGTACTTAAATGATAATTCTTCAGTTGGATTCTGTCATCACAAGAGTGTGTTCACCTATGTTCACAACTTCAAAGAAGGTCATTCCAGTGACATTTCTGTTGCCAAGCCTCAGTTTCCTCATCTCTAAAATGGGGATAATAGATGTACCACCTGAACAGGGTTGATTTAAGGATTGAAAGAGAAAACATATGTAGAGCTCCAAGCACAAGCCTCACTCATGGTGATCACTCACCACATGTCAGTGCTTATTTTGACTATTATCAGTATCTCTGAACCCTCTCCCCTCTTTGTCCTCTCCTCTCACCCAGAGTGTCCCTGCTCTCATGCCCTTACCTGGGCTCCTTAACAGCCCCCTTACCTGTCATAAATAAATGAAAAACAATAGTATATGAGGAAGCCATTTGGTTTAAAACTAATTCAGCCTGATCTTGTTTTTCCAAAAACCTGATGTAGCCTGTTGAGCATGCGTTGTACATCTGGTTTAAACATTGACTATGTCTCAAAGACAAGAGTGATGCCCTTAAAGATAGGCATGTAATATTCCCCCCATATTCTTTAAGGACAAGCATCTCTTCCCGGAAACTAAGGATTAATTACTGACCTGCTGTGCTCACCTTGTGACCACTGACCTGCTGACCACCCGCCTGCTAGGCCAGCTAAGCATCTTGTGACAGTAGTAGGAGAGATATTCCTGTCATATGTGATGCTTCCTCTTTGTTCCAAGATGGTGTATAACCACTCAGTATACGCCACTTCTTTGGTGCCCTTCCTTCCTTGGGGAAGGAAAGCCCTGGGCTATAGCCCTCAAATCCGGCTCATAATAAACTCACCCTGATTTTGATTTATAGATCGATTATGGATTATTTAATTGATACCTATCTTCTCATCTCAGTCTTATTCCTTCCTCCACCCTCCAGTCTGCTGCTAGAGTAAGCTTTCCAAAAGAGTCCTTGAATCACGCTGCGCCTCTGCTTAAAAACACCTGCTGGATCCTCGTTGCCTTTAGTCTGATGTCTTAGTCTGTTCGGGTTGCTATAACAAAAATAGCACAGACTGAGAAGCTTATAAATGACAGAAATTTATTTCTCACAATTCTGGAGGCTGGGAAGTCAAGGGTCAAAACATCAGCAGATTCCGTGTCTGTTGAGGGCCCCCTTCCTGATTCACAGACTCTGACTTCTCACTGTGACCTCTCATGGCAGACAGGGTGAGAGAGTCCTCTGGGGCCTCTCCTATAAGGATACTAATCCCATTCAGGAGGGCTCCCATTCTTGAGGGCTCATGACATAATCATCTCCCAAAGGCTCCACCTCTTAATACCATCGTCTTTGGGATTAGACTTTGACATATGAAATTGGGGTGGGTGAGTTATGGGTGGAGGGGCAGAAAGAACCCAAGATAGAAGCCACAGCCTTTTTGTAACCTAATCTCAGAAGTGACATCCCATCACCTCTGCCACATTCTACTCACTAGAAACAAGTCACTAAATCCATCCCACACTCAAGAAGAGTTGGTTATACAAGGGCCATGAATACCAGGAGGCAGAACTCGTTAGGGGCCATCTTTAAGGCTGAGTTTAGAGCCTAAGTCTCCTGATGCTGAAGCAAGTGATGCCCAGTATCAGTTTGCAAATCCCACAAAGGTCCTGAAAAGACGTGGGACCTCTACCCCAGCCTGAGCATGTAGAAGAAGTCTGTGGTGCCACGTATAAACAACCCTCCCTGGGACATGCACACGCACACACACACTGGGAGGAAGCTGTGGTAAGTACTTCCTCCTTCAGCCTGAGATCTGAAAGTATATCATCATGGCAGGTCCAAGGAGACGTACAGATGACTGGGCTCTGCGGCCTTTCTCTGGTGAGCTGTGGAAGAGTCAGCCACACATATTCTCTCCCTTTCTATGGACCCATCTCTTCCTGCTCACGGGTAAGTCCACATTGTGGCCACAACCGCTTGTAGTGGAGTTCCCCTGAGGCTGGCCACGTTTCCTGCTGGGGATTCTTGTTGGAAAAGTCAGTAAATTCCTCTGCTCATGGTAAATATTCTGCAAATTTCACCTTATTCTGAGCTCTGTACGTGTGTGTGAACGTGTGCGTGGTCACACACCATAAGCAAGTGACATTCTAGCCCCAGTCTCAAATAACTCTAGGCTCAGACTATATTTCTCTCACCCTCACATTTTCCTCCTAAGAAACACCATGGGGTGAGTTTGTTTCTTGTACAATATGGACATAATCCACGGAGAGATACAGGAAAATTCCCCTGATGACAAACCACCTAGTAATTTCCTAGGGAGCAATAGGACTTCTGGAGCTTCTTTCTACATCCTCTCTTGTTTATGAAGCAGGAGGCTTCACTGGGGGTCTGCAGATGGCCTGGTGGCCCTAGGCTAGGTGGCTTCTGCCTGAATATCCTTTTCTCCCCAACATCCTACCTACCCATCAAGGCCCAAGTTCTGCTAGTTTCTGGGAAATATCTCTGAGCAGCCTGGCCTGGGGCCCTCTGTCCAGCAGGCACACCTGACACAGTACCCCAGGGAGGACCTCAGCGACCTGGGACTGTAACAGATACTGTCCCTCTGGGATCCTGCTTTCCCCAGGGCCTCCTTGGGGAGGGATATTCTTTTCTCCCCAACGTTCTATCTCCCCATGGGAGGGATGGTGCAGGTGGCACTAGGGACCTGAGAGCAGTAGGGATGGGGGTGGCAGGTGGGCAGTGAGGAGAGCGCTAGAAAGACTCCTAGATGCATATATAGGGGTAGGGGGAGTCTTGTGCTTGAGATTGAGTTCCAGTCTGAACTCTCTTTACTTGCAATTTCGTCTTTGCTCACCACAAAAACACAGGAAGCAACAGGGCTATTTATATTCACACTCAACTCTTAGGGTGCCTTTTGACTGCATTGGATAAGCCTGAAATTAGCCACATCCAATGTTATTCAAGCAGCAGAGGATCAACAGGGTGAATTTCAAACAGTTCAGGGCAAGGGGGCATCTCCCGTTATCTGGCTCCATCGATTGGGGTGACCTCAAACTTCACTGTTTTGGTCTAGAAGGGTTTCCTTGATGCTTTTGTGTCTCCAAGGAGTTGTTTAAGGAACTTAGGAGGCAGTAGGGTGGAAAGGCCCTTTGCTTTAGTAGCAGGAACATATGAAATTAAATCCTGCTCCATCACTTACCAGCTGTGTGAGCCTCTATTTCTGAAGAGCAGAATGCAGTGAGCAAGTTGTGCTGTGCGAGATTCCGTCATAGATTACAGATGGTATATGTGCTTGGCACACGGTTGGTGGAAGCTATGATTGTTATTATAATAATCACTGTTAAGTACATTATTTGGAAACTATTAAAGGATAGGCAAGTCAAATTTACTTATTACAATCTTTGAACTCCTTTTTAATATTTGTCGACTGGCATTGTTCAAAACAACAAGACTGATTCCTGGAACTCCTGTCACCATACTAGGATATGTAGCACTGTTTGCTGCAACAGGATTTGACCTGTAGGGACCACATCCTGCTCCTCCCACTGGCTGTCTCTGAGGCTTTATCTTTTTTTTTTTTTCTTTATAAAGATTGGCACCTGAGCTAACATCTGTTGTCAATCTGTTTTTTTTCCTCTTCTCCCCAAAGCCCCCCAGTACATAGTTGCATATTCTAATTGTAGGTTCTTCTAGTTCTTCTATGTGGGATGCCACCTCAGTGTGGGTTGATGAGTGCAGCTAGGTCCATGCCCAGGATCCAAACCAACGAAACCGTGGGCTGCCAAAGCAGAGCACGTGAACTTAACCACTCAGCCACGGGGCCCTTTGTTTATGTTTGATGTGAGGAGAGCTGAGGTCAAAACATGGTCATATGCACCCAGCCAAGACTCAGCACCTTCTGGGCTTCCAGGATGGGAGTGGTGAGCACTCCTGGCCTCATACTCCAGTCATCTTGTATGTGGAATCTAGACTCCTCAACTGACCAATGCTGTAATCCAGGCAAGTGGCCAGAACTCTCTAAATTTCTGCTCCTGATCTGTAAAATGGGGTTAATTATCAGACAATTTTAAGAATTGAATGAGGTGATTTCTACAAAGCGCCTGACACACGCATAGCAATTATAAGGGCTGTCTTCCAGATGTGAAGAGCTCTGTTTTAGGCAACCTCAAACCAACATTGCACCAACTCAGCTTCTGTCTTCTGAATCTGTCCCCAGAGTCCACCTGAACTGATCGGCTCACATCCAGAGTCCCCAGCCCTGCATCCTCCCTCGCGGCTCCTCCGCAAAGTCCAAGTGCCGGGCTGCCGTGGGTGGGGGCAGGGAACCCCTGGCCTGCACCAGTCTGGGAGTCTCCTCTCTGCGTCTGCATACGCTGTAATATCTGGGCTTTCAGAGCACATCTCAGCCTTTGTCCAGCCCTCTCGGGTATATTTGGCCTCTCCCCTCTCTAACATTTTCTACTTACTTTTACACCTGGACTGCCTGGAGTAGTCTGAGTCCTGAACATAGCTTATTTGGTCTAGAATTTCCAGAGGACTCTAGAGCCTCAGAAGCCCTAGAATCTGGAACTCCAGGCTGGGGTCACCCAGCGGACACTCACAGGGCCCCTACAAGGAAATTAATTGCCTTGGCTGAATGCTGGGCCTCTGGAAGCCTTTGTAACAGTGTTTATCAGGGATCTGGGTCCTTCCTGAGATGAGGAAATCAGGAGCTGAATCAACGCCACCTACTATTCCCAAACCAAACCTCGTTCCTAAGGATTTCCCAGGCCAAGCCAACATCAGTCTGAGATCCCCTGGACGGTGAGGAAAATGTAGGGTGTGATAGAGGTAAGAGATGTTCCTTTTGTTCCCATGATTTTGTATGAAAATTCTCAAGCTTACAGAAAACTTGGTAGAATTTTGCAGTGAACGCTCATACACCTCCCACCTGGGTTCTACCATTTATGTTTTGCTTTACTTGCTTCATCACACATCTATCTATCTATCCACCCCTGTAGCCATCCATCAACCCATCTTACTTTTTAAAAGATGCTCCTTTTTTACTTCATTAGTTCTTTATGATTTACTGCAAGCTGTTTTTATTTAATCTTTACCATATTGCCTGATGAAGATGGTACAGGTGTGAATATTTCCATCTTATAGACCAGTAAACTGATTCTTGGAGAAATTCACCCAAAGTCACAAGGCTAATTTTCCCTGTTGGAACAGAAACCTAGAAGGTCTGTTTTACTGATTATATAGCCACACTTGTGGGAGAGAGTGCTTGATAAGTGAATGAGTGAATGAATGACTTTGCTAGGCAATGGACCTAGAGAGAGGGGGACAGGAGCCTCATTTCATTTCTCAGCATCTGACATTTATTCCTAATATGTGTTTATTGAATGAATAAATGAATGAATGAATGAAGCCTGGCTTGGGGAGTCCAGCTTCCCCTCCAAGTCCCTCTTCCGTCTCTGCAGGACTAGGAGCCTCTGGAAAGGACTCAGCCCCAACAGTGGCAGCCGGGATTCTAGGGGGTGTGGTGACTCTCTCCCTGAACATTTCAGTAGATACAGACATTGAGCATGTCACTTGGATTGCTTCCCAAAAAGCTCTTGCTTTAGCCTACCCAAATGGAGCCGTTATCATTATGGACAAAAGCTACCAGGACCGATTAAACATCAGCTGGAACTACTTATCTATCAGTAATCTGATGCTGAAAGATGCTGGACCCTACCACGCCCAGATAAACCGAAGGAATTCTGGAGTCACCATGGATGAGGAATTCACCCTGCAAATCTATGGTGAGTCCCACAGAGCTTCTGTGGGTTTTGATCTTTTATTTTTAAAAGCAGATTTTTTTTTCTCTCTAGGAATTTATCTGTCTAGGACAAATAGGACTCCACATTGATCATTTTCACCCAATTCCATAAATGTGGATGCCAAGAGTGAAAAACATACGCAAAATGTGTTTAAGAGCCATTTGTATTCTTTTCTGCAACTCTGTTAATATCTTTTACTCATCTGTATCAGTCAGCGAGGGCTGCCAGAACAAAATACCACAGACTGGGGGGCTTAAATGACAGAAATTTATTTACTCACCGTTCTAGATCTAGAAGTCCGAGATCAAGACAACAGCAGGTTTGATTTCTCCTGAGGCCTCGCTCCTTGGCTTGCAGATGGCAGCCTTCATGCAGTGTCCTCACGTGGTCACCCTTCTGTTTCTGTTGTCCGTGTCTTAATCTCCTCTTTTTATAAGAACACCAGTCATATGGCATCAGGGCCACTCTAATAACCCCATTTTAACGTAACTGTTTCTTTAAAGGCTCTATGTCCAAATACAGCCACATTCTGAGGGGACTTGGGATCAGGACTTCAACATATAAATTTTGGAGGGACGTGATTCAGTTCATAACACTCTGCCCTCTGGACCCCCCAAATCTCATGTCCTTCTCACGTGCAAAGTACATATTAACAGCCCCAAAAGTCTTAACCCATTCCCACCATCAACTCTAAGTCCACAATCTTATCCAAATATCATCTAATTCATATATGGGTGAGACTTGAGGTATAATTCATCTTGAGGCAAAATTCCTCTCCAGCCATGAACCTGTGAAACTGGGCAAGTCGTCTGCTTTCCTAATACAATGGTGGGATAGGCATAAAATAGACACTCACATTCCGAAAGGGAGAAATTGGAAAGAAGAAAGGGGTCATGGGTCCCAAGCAAGTCTGAAACCTAGGACGACAAATTTCATTAGATTTTAAGGTTAAAGAATAGTCCTCATGCCGGCCCAGTGGTGCAGTAGTTAAGTTCGTACGTTCCACTTCGGCGGCCTGGGGTTCGCCAGTTCGGATCCCGGGTGCAGACATGGCATCGCTTGGCAAGCCATGCTGTGGCAGGCATCCCACATATAAAGAAGAGGAAGATGGGCATGGATCTTAGCTCAGGGCCAGTCTTCCTCAGCAAAAAGAGGAGGATTGGCAGCAGATGTTAGCTCAGGGCTAATCTTCCTCCAAAAGAAAAAAAAAGAATAATCCTCTTTAGCTCTATACTCTGTCCTCTGGGCCTATTGGGGAGGCAGCCCCACCCCCTTGGCCCAGAGTGGCAGCCCTGCCCCCTGGAACCAAGGAGGAAACCACCCCACCAACTGCCGCTGGGTCTGTGCCCTCTAGGGCCATGGTGGCAGTGACAGCCCTGTTGACCTCTGAACTGCTCTCAGGGTCATTCTTCCCTTTTCTTGAAGGATAAGTCATGGCCTCAGCTGATAGCTCCATTGGCCCATCCTGTAGAATTCCCAGAAGTCTGATAGCCTTCCTTAATCTTGTCCCATCTCTGTCCCCTCACTCCAAGCTGGCAGCATCTCTGCTGAGATGGTTGACTGGATCCCTGGGTCACACTGTAAGCTCTTTAGCAGACATTATCTGGCCATACCCTTAGTGTTCTTTCCAGACACGCATTCTCATTTTTTGCAACGTGGGCAAGCTGAGAATTTTCTAAATCTTCAAGTTCTGGCTCCTTCTTGCTTAACACTTCCTTCTTCAGGAGCCGGTCCTGTGGCTAAGTGGTTGTTTGCACGCTCCTTTTCTGCGGCCCAGAATTTTGCTGGTTCAGATCCAGCTCATCAGGCCATGCTGAGGAAGCGTCCCACATAGCACACCCAGAGGCACTCACAACTAGAATATACAGCTATGTACTGTGGGGCTTTGGGGAGAAGAAGAAGAAAAAAAAAAAGATTGGGGGCCGGCCCAGTGGCCAAGTGGTTAAGTTCACACACTCAGCTTTGGCAGCCCAGGGTTTCACCTGTTGGGCTCCTGGGCGCAGACATGGCACCGCTCATCAAGCCACACTGAGACGGCATCCCACATGCCACAACTAGAAGGACCCACAAGTAAAAATACACAACTATGTACCGGGGGGCTTTGGGAAGAAAAAGGAAAAATAAAAATCTTAAAAAAAAAAAAAAAAGAGGATTGGCAAGTCACTAGCTCAGGTGCCAATCTTTAAAAAAAAAAAAATTCCTTCTTCAATTTATCTCTCACCTCTCACATTTTACTGTAAGCAGAAAGAGGTCGCCACCCAGTGCCCTCAACTCTTTGCTTAGAAATCTCCTTCGCTAAATATTCAAGTTTATCACTTAATGTTCTACTTTCTACAAAACACTAAAACCCACTTTGTCTAAGTTCTTTCCCACTTTATAATAAGTATCACCTTTCCTCCAGTTTCCAATAAGATCTTTTACATTCCCATCTGATACGTCACCAGAAATAACTTAAAAAAATTTTTATTTATTTACTTTTTGCTGTGGTAACATTGGTTTATAACATATAAATTTCGGGTGTACATCATTATATTTTGATTTCTGTGTAGATTACACCATGTTCACCACCCAAAGACTAATTACAATCCATCACCACACACATGTGCCTAATCATCCCTTTCACCCTCCCACCTCCCCCCTTCCCCTCTGGTAACCATCAACCCAATCTCTGTCTCTGTGTGATTGTTTGCTGTTGTTTTTATCTTCTACTTATGAGTGAGATCATATGGTATTTGACTTTCTCCCTCTGACTAATTTCACTCAGCATAATACCCTCAAGTTCCATCCATGTTGTCACAAATGGCTGGAGTTCATCATTTCTTATGGCTGAGTAGTATTCCATTGTGTGTATAAATACCATATCTTCTTTATCCATTCGTCCCTTGATGGGTGCCTAGGTTGCTTGCAAGTCTTGGCTATTGTGAATAATGCTGGAGTGAACATAAAGGTGCATGTATCTGTATGCGTTTGTGTTTTTATGTTCTTTGGGTGAATACCAAGAAATGGAATAGCTGGATCCTATGGTAATTCTGTTCTTAATTTTTTGAGGAATCTCCGTACTGTTTTTCACAGCACCTGCACCAGTTTGCAATCCCACCAGCAGTGTATGAGGGTTCCCTGCTCTCTACATCCTCTCCAACCTTTGTTGTTTCCTGTCTTGTTAATTATAGCCATTCTGATGGGAGTGAGGAGATATCTCATTGTAGTTTTGATTTGCATTTCTCTGATAGTTAATGATGTTGAACATCTTTTCGTGTGCCTGTTGGCCATCTATATATCTTCTTCGGAGAAATGTCTGTTCAAATCTTTTGCCCATTTTCTTTTTCAGGAAGATTAGCCCTGAGCCTACATCTGCCACCAATCCTCTTGTTTTTGCTGAGGAAGACTGACTAACATCCATGCCCATCTTCCTCTACTTTATATGTGGGACACCTGCCACAGCATGGTTTGATGAGTGGTGTGTAGGTCCGCACCCAGAATCTGAACCAGTGAACCCCAGGCTGCTGAAGCAGAATGTGCAAACAACTACTGTGCCACCGGGCCAGCCCCTCTTTTGCCTATTTTTTAATTGGATTGTTAGTTTTTTTGTTGTTGAGATGTATGAGTTCTTTACATATTTTTGATATTAACCCCTTATCAGATATGTGGCTTGCAAATATCTTCTCCCAATTGTTAGCTTGTCTTCATTTTGTTCATGGTTTCCTTTGCTGTGTAGAAGCTTTTTAGTTTGATGTAGTCCCATGTGTTTATTTTTTTCTATTGTTTTCCTTGCCTTGTCAGACATGGTACTTGAAAATATGCTGCTAAGACCTATGTTGAAGAGCATACTGCCTATGTTTCTTTCTAGAAGTTTCATGGTTTCAGGTCTTACATTCAAGTCTTTAAGCCATTTTGACTTAATGTTTGTGTATGGTGTAAGACAATGGTCTACTTTCATTCTTTTGCATATGGCTGTCTGGTTTTCCCAACACAATTTATTGAAGAGACTTTCCTTACTCCATTATATGTTCTTGGCCCCTTGTCAAAGATTAGCTTTCCATAGATGTGTGGGTTTATTTCCGGGCTCTTGATTCTGTTCCATTGATCTGTATGTTTGTTTTTGTGCCAGTACCATGCTGTTTGGGTTACTATAGCTTTGTAGTATATTTTGAAATCAGGGAGTGTGATACCTCCAGCTTTGTTCTTTTTTCTCAGGGTTCCTTTGGTTACTCAGCGTCTTTTATTCTTCCATATACATTTTAAGATTCTTTGTTCTATTTCTGTGAAAAATGTTGTTGGAACTTTGATAGACAATGCATTGAATCTTTAGATTGCTTTAGGAAGTATGGACATTTTAACTATCTTACTTCTTCTAATCCAAGAGCACGGAATATCTTTCTGTTTCTTGGTGTCTTCTTCAATTTCTTTCAACAATGTTTTATAGTTTTTGGTGTACAGATCTTTCACCTCTTTGGTTAGGTTCATTCCTAGGTATTTTATTTTTTTTGTTGTTGTAATGGTAAATGGGATTGTACTCTTAATTTCTCTTTCTACTACTTTGTTATTAGTGTGTAGAAATACAACTGATTTTTGTATGTTGATTTCATATCTTGCAACTTTATTGTATTCATTTATTATTTCTAAAAGTTTTTTGGTGGATTCTTTAGGGTTTCCTGTGTATATAATCATGTCATCTGCAAATACTGACAGTTTCACTTCTTCCTTTCCAGTTTGGATCCTTTTATTTCTTTTTCTTGCCTGATTGCACTGGCTAAGATTTCCAATACTATGTTAAATAAGAGTGGTGAAAGTGGGGACTCTTGTCTGGTTCATGTTCTTAAAAGGATAGATTTCAGTTTTTCTCCATTGAGAATGGTATTAGCTGTGGGTTTGTCATATATGGCCTTTATTATGTTGAGATACTTTCCTTCTATACCCATTTTATTCAGAGTTTTTATCATAAATGGATGCTGTATCTTGTCAAATGCTTTCTCTGCATCTATTGAGATGATTGCGTGCTTTTTATTCTTCATTTTGTTAATGTGGTGTATCACATTGATTGATTTTCAGGTGTTGAACCATCCCTGCATTCCTAGAATAGATCTCACTTGATCATGATGTATGATCTTTTTAATGTATTGTTGTATTCAATTTGCTACTATTTTGATGAGGATTTTTGCATTGATGTTCATCAGTGATATTGGCCTGTAATTTTCTTTTTTTGTGTTGTCCTTATCTGGTTTTGGTATCAGGGTAATGTTGGCCTCATAGAATAAGTTAGGAAGCTTCTCCTCCTCTTCATATTTTTGGAAGAGTTTGAGAAGGATAGGTATTAAGTCTTCTTTGACTGTTTGATAGAATTGATCAGAGAAGCCATCTAGTCCTGAACTTTTATTTTTTGATTACTGTGTCCATCTCCTTACTGGTGATTGGTCTATTCAAATTCTCTATTTCTTCTTGATTCAGTTTTGGAAGGTTGTATGATTCTAAGAATTTATCCTTTTCTTCTAGAGTATCCAATTATCTGTGTACAGCATTTCATGGTATTCTCTTAGAATCTTTTGTATTTCTGAGGTGTCTGTTGTAATTTCTCCTCTTTCACTTCTAATTTTATTCATTTGAGCTTTTTCTCTTGGTGAGTCTGGCTAAAGGTTTGTCAATTTTGTTTATCTTTTCAAAGAACCAGCTCTCGACAGAAACACCTTTAATGTTTATATTTCTACCAACATTCTGTTCATGATAATATATGTCTATCTCTCAGATCATAGAAGCTTTCTCTACAGCTCTTTTCTTTCTAAGCCCTTTTCAGAATCCCCTTTAGCATCTATATTTCTATGAACAATCTGTTGAAGACAATCTAGGCTTTTTCTAATATGCACAGCTCTCCAGCTGTGAACCTGTGAAGCCAGACAAATTATCCACACCCATAACACAATGGAAAACTAAAACTCTTCCAGCCTCTATCCATTAGCCAGTTCCAAAGCCACTTCCACATTTTGGGATACTTGTTACAATAGCATTCCACTTCTGGTACCAAAATCTGTATTGGTTTACTAGGGCTGCCATAACAAAATACCACAAACTGAGTCACTTAAACAACAGAGATTTATTTTCTCACAACGCTCGAGGCCAGGCAAAGTGCCGGCAGGTTTGATTTATTCTGAGGCCTTCTCCTTGGCTTGCAGGTGGTAACCTTCTTTCTCTATGTCTTTACTTGGTTATCCCTCTGTCTGTGTTGTCTGTACCCTCATCTCCTTTTCTTATAAGGACACCAGTCGTATTGGATTAGGGACTATCTTAAAGATCATATTTTAACTTAGTTACCTCTATCTCCAAATATAGTCCTATATCCAAATACAATCACATTCTGATTATTGGGGAATGTTAGGTACTGAGGGGCAGGGCTTCAACATATGAAACATATGAGCTCTGCAGGGACATAGTTCAGCCACTAACACTATCTTTCCAGGTAGTTTGACCTTTTTTTCTTTTGGTGAGGAAGATTGGCCCCTTGGCCCTGAGCTAACATCTGTCACCAATCTTCCTCTTTGTGCTTGAGAGAAGATGTCCCTGAGCTAACATCCATGCCAATCTTCCTCTACTTTTTGTATGTGGGATGCCACCACAGCATGGCTTGATGAGCAGTGTATAGGTTTGCACCTGGGATCTGAACCCATGAACCCTAGGCTGCTGAAGCAGAGTGCGCGAACTTAACTACCGGGCCAGCTCCAACCTTTTTTTTATTGATTCATAGGGTGCTCTGTGTATATTAAGGAGTTATTGAAATTTCTTTCTTTCTTTCTTTCTTTTTTGCTGAGGAAGATTTATCCTGAGCTAACATCTGTGCCAGTCTTCCTCTATTTTGTATGTGGGACACTGCCACAGCATGGCTAGTGAGGTGTGCAGGTCTGCACCCAGGATCTGAACCCCTAAACTCAGGCCACTGAAGCGGAGTGCAAAAAACTTAACCACTAGGCCATGGGGCCAGCCCTGTCTATATTCAGGAAATGGAATTCTATGTAGCTAATAGAAACAGAATGAAAAAACTCAGTATGTACTGACATACAACAATTTCCAAGATATATTGTTAAATTTTTAAAAATATGTGGGACAGTATGTGTAGTATGCTATCATTTATGTGTCTTAACCTAGAACATCTCTGGAAAGATCAACAAGAAATTTATGACAGTAATTGCCTCCAGGAACAGTAATTCCTGGGGAGAAGAAATAAGTGGCTGGGGGCAAGCAAGCTTGTTTTTTCATTGTCTACGCTTCAGTATCTTTTCAGTTTCAATTTTATGTATATATTACTTAACCCCCCAGAAAAAGCAGACTTAAACACTCAGACACACACACTGTGAACAGAGGAGATGGAACGAGAGGGAAGAAGAGGACCAGGAAGGTCTGGAAGCACAGTGGGTCCTAAATTCAGGCCAATAGGCAAGGGCAATTCAAATTCCAGAGGCAGAGCTCCCTACTCCCCAGTATGTGGGGCTGGCTCATTCATCCATTTTTTCACCAAGCGTTCATGAGTGCATTTCATGGGTTGGGCAGGTGTTAGGTGTGCAGAGTCAGGCATCAGTCCTGTCCTGGAGGAGTTCATGTACTGGTGGGGGAGAAAGAGAAGTAATAGACTACTGTCATGTCGACTCATGGTGATACCACCTGTAGAGCGTAACATGGAAGCACCGAGGAGAGGCACTCACCCTAGCCTGCAGTAGGAAAGGAAGAAAAAACTCCTCTGGAACAGGCAATGCTGGCCTCTCCCCCTGCTACCACCTCCTCTACCACACCACCTTATTCTCTCAGCCCTTTCCTGCCAGGAGTTTAAGGAGTCTCTCTATTGCCACTGTCTCTGCAGAGCGGCTACAGGAGCCCCGAGTCACCGTGCAGACCATGAACGTGTCTGAGAACGCCTCCTGTAACATCACCCTGACATGCTCTGTGGAGGGGGCAGAGAAAGCTGTTCAGTACAGCTGGACCCCAAGGGACCCCCATGCTTCTGAATCCTCTTGGGGCTCCACTCTCACCATCTCCTGGACACCTTGTGACCCAGACCTGCAGTACACGTGCACAGCCAAGAACCCAGTCAGTCAGAGCAGCTCCCGCCCTGTCGACTTAAGAACCTGGCAGATCTGTATAGGTAACTGGCTCCACTTAGGCCCTCCAGAAGATTCCAGAAACAGTCTGAGCAGCTGTAGAATCCAAACTCCAAGGTTCTGGCAGGACATGGATGGGGGGTGGGGAGGCAAGAGATAAGGCCTGGAGACCCCTTGTTTTCTACCCTCAGGGGCCTGAGAGAGACTGGCAGGGAATGTGGGAACTCCCAGGGCACTGTGAAACTGAGGGGAGAGCAAGGGAGGGGAAGAGAGGATAGATGAAGAGATCCAAATTGCTCTTTGCTTGGGTGGGAGTGTCCCTGGTGTCTCCTGAGAAGGGCAGAGAGAGCAAGAGGGGCCTGGGTATGCAACAGACAGAGCTAGTGTATACCTGTGCAGGACAGGTGGTCCTGGGAAAGCAGTAGAGATGCCCTGTCAGAGGAAGGGGGAATGGACCCAGGCAGGAGGGCCTCTGGGGCTCCCCTGCCCTTCAGGCAGGCTGAGGGTCAAGGGAGTGGGGCCAGTGACTGAAGCCGCAATGTCTCATCTCTGACTGCAGATCCAGGAGCCTCCAGAGGAGGATCAGTAGGGGAGACGGTGGTGGGGATCCTGGGGGAGTCAGTCACCCTACCCCTGGCTCTCCCGGCCAGTCAGGACATAGAGAACGTTGTCTGGATGTTTAACACGTCTGTTATCAGCAAAGAGTGGGGAGAAGCAGCAAAAGCAGATCCCGAGAAGAACACAGCATGGGTCAGCCAGGACTACTCCCTGAAGATTGGCCAGCTGCGGATGGAGGACGCTGGCCCCTACCACGCCTACATATGTTCAAAGGCTTCTGGAGTGATCAGCATGAAGCATGTCACCCTGCTCATCTACCGTGAGTTTCTGAGCAGATCGCCTGTTATTAGATTCCTTCCCTGAAAGCTTTCTCCTCTTTGCTGCCTTCCCCTCCTCCCTCAGGCCTCTCCTACGGAAATGCCTCAGACTAGGACTGAGTTCACACCAGTCAATTCACAGGAGGAAAAATTACAATCAGTGGCTGGGCAAAAATCTACCCGGCAAGGTCCCCCTTCCTCTAGGCTTCCAGTTAGGCCTCAGCCACCCAAGTGTCGGTACTTTCCCCGTCCTCCTGCATTATTATCAGGTGGGACAGACCAGGAACTCTCCAACCTGCCTTTTTACAAAACAGTATCCTTTTGAATAAGGGCAGAGCTGGCTGGTGTGGAGCCAGAGGAGACTGAGGAGAAAGCCTTTCGTGTCCAAAGACGCTGTGACCTCCAAGAGGGTTGGCTGCTCGGCTCCCCTGAGTGTGGGGGGCAGAACTTGCATTCTTCTTCCTCAGCCCTGGGCCTCATGGGAGCTTGGCAGGGCGGTTTGCATGGTTTCCATTTGCCAGCTCCTTTACCAGTACCATTCAGACATGGTCTGCACATCCCCTGCCTGGGCTTGTTGGTGTCTAAGTAGCCGTGAAAAAGGTCGCCGTCTGCGATCCCCTTAAACTATGCAGTGAGTCAGCTAGTCTAGATCTATTACACACTGTCACTCAAATACAGAAGAACCGGCAAGGAGATTTAAGTAAAAATAATAATAAATTGGGAGCAAATGGTGCCAGTCTTATATTTCTTGTAGAATTGCTAACGTTTATTGAGAACTTATTCTGCGTCGGTGCTGTGCTCACCTCTCTACATCCCTTTTCTCCTGTAAATAAGCAAACTAGGTGATGAAACCTCAAAACGTAAGCCTTGAAGGGCCTTCAGAGCCTGTGGAAAGGCTGTGCTTATTTGTGTCGTTTGGTTTGCTTGCTCTTCACAGTCTGCTATATAGAATGATGTGGTATCTTTCTTTTTTCATTTTCATGAACTCCTTTATTGCACATCTGAGCATCAAAGGCCTAAAGAAATGAAGTGAAATGTCTGAGATTTCATAACTCCCCAGGGAAAGGCGAGGTAGACACCCAGCGCAGTGTCAGTACACAACTTCATGAATATATTTTGAATGAGTGAAGATGTGGTGACTGCCCAGTGGGCAGGCCTAACTCCACATTGGGTCTGCCTTTCTTCTTATGCAGGAAGGCTGAAGAAGCCCAAAGTCACCTGGAGCCTTGGGCCCACGGAGGACGGCATCTGCAGGGTCAGCCTGACGTGCTCGGTGGAGGACAATGGACACAACGTGACCTATAGATGGACCCCCCTGCAGAAAGGAGCTGTTGTATCCCAAGGGGGATCTCACCTCAGTGTCTCCTGGAGAAGGGGTGAAAATCATCCCAACTTCACGTGCACAGCCAGCAACCCCGTCAGCAACAGCTCCGGGCAGTTTCTTCCTGGGGACATCTGTCCAGGTTGCCCTCTATCTCCACTCGGCCGGACCTCAGGGCCTTGGATCCTTAGATCCAAGAGTTTGCATTCTGAGTGGTTCTTTATGAAGTGCTGTGAAAGAGTGTGGGCAAGAGCCCTTTACTCAGCCATTCCGATAGAAACAGAAGGAGAGCCACATATGTCATTTAAATTTTCTAATAGTCACGCAGAAAAAGCCAAAAGAAATAGGTAAAATTAATTTTAATCATATATTTTATTTAACCAAATATATCCAAATATCATTTCAACAAGTATTCAATACAAACAATTATTCATGAGATAATTTACATTTCATTTACACTAAGTCTTTGAAATTCAGTATGTAGTTTACACTAACAACACATCTCAATTCAGATGCTAAATTTTCATAGGAAGTACTTGATCTGTATGCAGAATTCATAAAACTTACAGATGAAAAAATAGATTTATATATCCAAGTTGTTCCAAACATACTTATCAGTTTTTCAATAAGGAATTGAGTCACTGTTCTTTTTTTTTTAAAGATTGGCACCTGAGCTAACAACTGTTGCCAATCTTCCTTTTTTTTTTGTTAATGGTTTATCTCCCCAAATCCCCCATACATAGTTATATATCTTAGCTGCAGGTCCTTCTAGTTGTGGCATGTGGGACACCGCCTCAACGTGGCCTGAGGAGCGGTGCCATGTCCACGCCCAGGATCTGAACCGACGAAACCCGGGGCCACCGCAGCAGAGCATGCAAACTTAACCACTCGGCCACAGGGCCAGCCCCTGAGTCACCGTTCTTAAATTTACGTTTAAATTTTTAAAAATTAAATGAAATAAACAATTCAGTCCCTCAGTCATACTGGCCGCATTTCAAGGGCTCATACCATCCATGACTTGCGGCTACCATATTGGACAGTGCCGTGTTAGAAGTCTGTGGAGATGAGTTGATGGGAAGTTGATATGGGAAGGGATGCGGACCACTAAGGGACACAGGCTGTGTGAGTGGGAGCTAGAAAGGAAACCCTAGTGGCTCTTACTAGATTCCAGGCACTATTCTAGGTCCTTGTGCGTTTTAGCATGATCAATCTTCACAGTAATCCTACACAGCAGATATTCTTATCGTTTCCCATTATATAGAGAAACTGAGACTCACAAAGGATAGGAAACTTGCCCAAGGTCACATAGCAAAAGCAGGGTTGGAACCCTGACTTCTGTACTTCGCTCGTCCCTAGAGGGAAGTAGAAAAAAAGGAACTTCTATCCAGGCGACCATGCTGAGTCAGGCTGCATCTGGTAGATGGATTTAGAGGCCTGTTAAGTAGGAGTCTGGACTTTTTCTGTCTCTAGCCTAGAATTCCTCTTATCCTATTTACAGAGAGAAGGAGTGTAGTGTGATGGATAAGGGTATTTTAGGATCAGACAGCCTGCATTCAAATCCCAGCTCAGGTGCTTAAAACTCTGTGACCTTGGGCAAGCCATAAATCTCTCTACCCAGGGACAGTGTCTGCCTTATGAACTGCTGTCACTTCTTGCCTAGGAGAATGCCTACTCAATAAATAATGGTAGAATGAATGAATGGAAAGAAATATTTTCTGCAATGGCATGAGATTTTAAGAGGCAGATAGGATGGCCATTACAGTTTGTCCATTGTTTGCTCCAATCTTTTATCATTATTTATACTAAATTACTCATTTCTTCTTCACAGGGCCTGAGAGAAGCAGCAGGCTTTGGGTTGGGCTCTCCTTGACGGTTTCCATCATTTTGTGCTTTGGGATCTCTGGCTATTGCATTCGGAAGCAAGGAAGACGGTGTGGGTTTCTGAGATCAATGGAATCTACCCGCACTAGGCCATTTCCCTGGGACCTTTGGAGGCTTCTCTGTCCTCTCATAATCCCCCCTACCCCTTCTCTCCCAAGACCTCATTTCTTCTCAGAGTGATGGGGGGAGGGCTGTTAGTTGGGACTCTGGTCACAAATAATTGAAACTCAGCTCCAAGTAGCTTAGACAAAGTGGAGGGGTGGTGGTGGTGCAGGGGGTGTGGTTTATTATTTCGGAACTCACATAATAATCTGTGAGGAAAGCAGAGGAAGAGCTGGCCCTAAGGACAAATGTCACCAGAGACTCAGAAGTCACCAGAGCTCTCCATCTCTCCTTCCTACTTCTTCATTCAAGCCAGCTTAACTCTCTCCTACTGTAGCCAGCAGAGGAGCAAATGTGGGAGGTGGGGTGTGTACCACAGCAGAGCAACTGGTAGCTCCGGACTCACACATACTTGTAGCTCTGACACCAGGAAGGGAAAAAAGATGTTTCCCTCTAACTCCAGCTTGAAAAATCTCAGAAATATCTTTGATTGGTCCAACTTTGGGTCATGTCACCATTGCTTGGCCCAATCACTGTGGCCAAGGAAATGAGCTATTATGGTTGACATCTCCCTCTGGAGATGAGTATTGGAGTGGGAATGGAGTATTTCCCAGAAAGAACAGATTGCTTAGAACACGTGGCCCCCAGAAGAATTACTATGAGTTGGCAAACCACTCTGATTAGTGGCTACCACAGAGGGGTTAGAGATCTCTACCCTCCAGAGGGAAGGCAGGCAGCTCCAGAGCCTTCTCCTTAGCTGAAGATGACCCTAGACTCTGTCATGCTTCTCATGGGCTTGAGAACCCTCACATCAGAGTTCACACTACTCCCTAAAGCCTTTTCCCTGTCTATGTCCTCAAAATCTCTCCTCTTGTCCTTTGATTCTCACAGAATCAGAGACCTCTCCCTCTTCACAGCCCTACTGATAAACCTTCTCTATCTTGGTTTCTCAGGTTCAGCCCCAGCCTTCAGTTCCAGCCAAGTTGAGGCCTCAGCTGACACATCAGGTACTATCACCAATGACATAGATTGTGGGGTCCCTGGGCCAGATGGAAGCTGCAAAGCCTGGCTACTCAGTGTGGTCTGCCAACCAGCAGCATGAGCATCATTGCCCAGGAGCTTGTTAGAAATGAAAATCTTGGGCACTCCCCCAGAATGCTGAATCTGAATCTGCATTTTAACATGATCCACAGGTGAATCACATGCCCGTTAATGTTTGAGAAACAATGTGCTAGAGGAAGGTGGTTTAGGGAACAAATTCACAACTAGGACGGAGTCCAGAAAGATGGGAACCAGAGCTAGGAGACGCAGCTCATCCTCGAGCGTCTCTAGGGTTCCTCAAGCATTGACCCTCATCACTTGAATGTGGCCTATGATGAGGATGGAGTTATCTTCTCCACTCTGAGAATGGAGAAACAAAAGGCTAGATGGATGGGCAAATCTGAGGCAGGAGCAAAACTAAAACTTAATTAAAATTGAAACCCATGAGATTGTCTGGACACCAAGAGCATCACTGAGGCAGTAGTCTTCCAATTTTTGAAAAAGCTAAGGAATAGTTTCTTCAAACAAAATATTATGCAACACCCCAATAGCACAAAGCATGTAAAAATGGGACTGTCGTAAAAATGGATGTTGGGGTGGAGAGCTGAGATGCCCACATCTTACTCTCCTGCTCCCATCCCTCAGTGTCCTAAATCACCTCCTGGAACCTTGGAGCTCTGGAGTTCTAAGGACCTAAACTCTGCCCACTCAGACCAACCCTGCTTTAGAAAACCCTATGTTACCTCTCATGGAGGGGATTCCTCAAGGTGAGAGAACAGGAAGAGAGGCTGGGAGGGGACGGGGGCTCAAGTCATCCAACAGTGCAGGCTTTTCTGATGAAAGTATAACCCCGAGAAAGGAGTCAAGAAATGGGAATGAGACTGGATATGGAACTTCCCACCAACTCCCTCCTCATGGCTGGCAGGACAGACTCTTGTCTCCCCCAGCCTATGCCCTCCTTCCTTGGCACCCTGGGCACAGGAGGGGGAGTAAAGAAGTGTTGGGGACACCACTCTCATCCCTATCCTTCCTCCCTCCCTCAGCACCCCTCCTCAGCTCTCAAGGCCTGCTTCTTCAGGCTCTCCATCCTTGCTCGTAAGTTTCCTCTTCTCTAGATCTTTTGCCACTGACTGAGTTCATGCTGTCACCATTTTTTTGTTTTATTGAATAGATTTTTTTAAATTGAAAAGTCTTATAATCACATGGTATACCATTGAAAGGAAATCTCTTTCCAAATCGCGATCTCCAGGTCTCTCTCACCAGAGACCTCCATTGTTTTTTTTGTTTGTTTGTTTTTCTGCTTTATCTCCCCAAATCCCCCCGGTACATAGTTGTATATCTTAGTTGCAGGTCCTTCTAGTTGTGGCATGTCCATTGTTAAGATGTATGTATGTCTAAATTCTTTCAAAGCCTTTTAATGTGTTTACAGACATAGTATATATTTGTGTGTGTGTGTATTTGTGTGTGCGTGTGTGTATGTGTTCTTCCTTTAATTAAACTGACGGGAAAAACCTATAACATTTTTCTGACCCTTGCTTTTTTTTTTTTTTTTTTTTGATTTTATTTTTTTCCTTTTTCTCCCCAAAGCCTCCCAGTACATAGTTGTATATTCTTCATTGTGGGTCCTTCTAGTTGTGGCATGTGGGATGCTGCCTCAGCATGGTTTGATGAGCAGTGCCATGTCCGCGCCCAGGATTCGAACCAACAAAACACTGGGCCGCCTGCACCGGAGCGCGTGAACTTAACCACTCGGCCACGGGGCCAGCCCCATGACCCTTGCTTTTTTAACTTAACAGTATATCCTAGCAATATTGGCATACATAGATTGACTGACTCCCATTTATTCCGTCCTACAGATACATCTTAATTTACTTAATCAGTCTTTCTTAGCAAATATTCCCATTCTTGTTACTAATACCCTAAAATATGATAATAGTTTCCTAACTAGCCATTCCCTCTGCAGAGTTTTCCCTTTCTATCCCTTCTGCTCACCACTTTACAGAGCTCAACTCTGACTGCTCTAAAACCATCAGTGGCTCCTCATGACCTTTGTCTGTTACTCAAAAGGCGCTATAACCTAGTGGTCAGGTGTATGCGTTCTGAGGTCAGACAATCCTGTGTGAATCCCAGCTCTCCTCCTTATTAGCGATCTTGGGCAATTCAGCCTCTGAGCCTCAGTCTCCTTACCTTGCAAAATGAGAGCACCAACCTCTTCGAGTGCTATGAGGACTGAGTGGGGCGATGCCCACAGTGTGCCCTCAATAGGCGGTAACTACTATCAGCATGCAGTACTGGGCCAGACCACTCTTCCTCTACTTTATTCCTACACAAAGCGCATTGGGGGCAATATTGAGTAATCAGTAAGAACATCACAGACCAGACTGCCTGCATTCAAATCCTGCCCTTACCACTTACTTGGGTGAATATTTAACCTTTACATGCTCCAGTTTCCTCATCTGCAGAAAGTAAAGTTAGTTATTGTCTATACTTCATGAGGTTTAATGCAAATTAAATAAGTTTATTCATGAAAAGCTTTTAGAACAGTGCCTGACACATAGTAGGCACTTAGTAAATGGGAGCCATTATTATCTGCACTTAGATCAAATAGGCTGCTTGACGTGCCCCAAAGGCAGGTAGTCGTCCACCCAGTGTGCCACACTAGCTGTTCACAGCATACACCATTCTGATTGTCCTATGCCCAGGCCATTGCAGTTAAATATTTTGAATATCATCCTTTCCCAAAGGAGAGGGCACCCAAGGTTTCACACGTGACTTTAGTCATGCTGCTTCCTCCACCAAGAATACCCGATCACTAATCAAAATCCTGCCCCTACATGAAGACCCACGTCAATTCTATCACCTTCACGTGTTCTTCTCTGCTTCGCTACCCAGAGACCATCTCCTTTCACCTCTACCCTTTCTTTGTACTTTTCATATGTCAGTTGTTGGAGCTGACCTTACATTAACTGATTTACATACGGATCTGACCCCCAGATGGACAGTGCACTCCTTCAAGACCAGGCCTAATTTACTCTGTGTTTCCTCAGAGTACCCATCATGGTACTTAGGGTGGTTTATCCAATGGGGCTAGTTCTGCACTGAGTCTCTTTCTTGTCATACTCGATGAATGTTTATCAAATGAATGAATAAATGAATGCTTGAAAGGAAGGAGGAAGGGAGAGTGGGATAGAGCCCTCTGAGGGAAAACAGGAAAACAGCCTCCCTTCCAGTTCTCTAGGCCCCATCTGAGGTAGGAGTCAGAGCAGCTTAGATTCTTGTACAATGCAAGAGAGAGGTGAAGGCTGACACACTTTTTACTAACCCTGCACCTTGTGTTCCAGGATCCACTGCTGGCCGCACAATATATTCCATGCTTTCCCCAGGATATGAGATGATGGACACTCTCCCTAAGACTTCCAGGCAACAGGGTAGGCCCACTTCTGAGAGCAGCTCTGACAGCAATGGGACAACTGATGAGGATGAGGAGAAGAATGAAATGTACCGGCCTGTCAATAAAAGAGATCAGGTGTATGACTCGGTCACTCAGGAGGACACTGAACATGACTCAGCCTCTGAGGGGCAAGCAGAGTATGATCTTGTCACTCCAGATGATGTGCAACCTGAGCCTGTGGTTGACGGGAACACGGTGTATATGGAAGTGTTCCTCAACTCGCAGGTGAGCTTTTTTAATCAGTACACCTTCCCTTCCCCTTCCACTTCTAGGGCCATCCAATATCCTGGATGACTAGTCCTGCCAAACTGGGAGCCAGAGGCTGGGGGACAGGACCAGCAGCACATGGGCAGAATCCTGACTCTGTTCGTGTTTACCAAACCTTGTGCTCCCTTAGAATGAAGGAACTCATCCCTTAGTTCCCATTCTTGGCCTATAAATAAGGGAGGTGTTGGGGAACCAGAGGCACTGTCCCCATTGCACTGAGGCAGCTTCCACCCTCTATGTGATACCAGAACCTATTGGGATGTCCTGTCTCTTCAAAGGTTGAGGGTGAAAGTCTGGAAAGCTCTTATTTGGTGACTATGGATAGTATGATGTTGGTCTGTTACAGGGAGAGACCCCAGTTCCTTTGAAGAAGGACAGCTCAGACACAATCTACAGCCAGATACAGAAATCTCAGACGGTGAGAACAATTTTCTCTGTATCCTAAGGCCCATAAAATGAGGTACGACTCCCCAGACCATTTTAACTGAAAGTCCTAAATTCCCGTGGCAGAGGAGCTTAAGTTCTATCCACTATGCAACCTCCTGACACACTCCATGGTCAACAGAGATGCTTAAACAAATATTTTTGATTTACATCCATGTGGTCAAAGGTTGAACATTTCTAATTGATTTAATAATATCTTATGTTGATTAATATTAACACTGACCAGAATGGAAGGCTGTAAACCCAAACACTGTATGGTCTATGTATATTTCTAAATCTATCTCTAACCCTGATCTTAACCCACCAAAATGTCAATTTCCCAAAACAATTGGAAATTAACCAACAGTCTAGTGTCAAGATTTTTTTGAAAATGTGCTGTTAATTAACAATATATTGGGTTTTTAATAGTGTTAAAAGATCCCTTAAGGGTAGAATTTCCCATTAAATAACAATAACAATAACTTCCATATAATGTTTTACAGTGTACAAAACATTGACAGACATATTCTCATCTGATCCTTATAACACCTCTACAAATGTGCTGTCATCCACATTTTATAGCCAAAGAAGCCAAGATGCAGGAAGCTAATTTTCCCTAAGTTCACATAGATAGTAGTTGAAGTTTCAGTATTAAAAATCAGAAGGAGTTTTAAAATAATCCTGAAAAATCTTAAGCAATTAACCTGGATCTGAATCTGGCTGTCCACTCTACTTTCACTCTCCTGAAAACATTAGATCCATTCACACGTCTGCTTTCAAATCTCCTCCAGAATTCTTTCCCTGTAATATGTTCAAATAAGTTTTAAAAAAAGAAAAAAGTTCTCCGAGTTTTTCAATTATACTACTTCTCTGTGATTGATGAATTAATCAGTAGATATTTATTGAACACTTTTTGTTTGCCCAGAACTGGGCTGAGCGCTGTGGGGATTCAGACATATTTAAGACGCCATCCTTGACCTTGAAGGCTTGTTATGTATCTTTTGGTGCAGTAGGGGTGGAGCTGATTCAGTCACCTGGAAGGGGAGGGGAAATACACCACGTGACTACTTGTTGTGTTCCTATGGGTTTTTCAGACTTTGGAAGTGGGAGATATCTCTTCACTGAGGTAGACGAGAAAGGCACCATGAAAAAATAGTTTGGGTTGGACCATAAGAGATGGATAGAGTTTGTTCAGCAGACACTTGTGCAAATGTGCAGTTCAGTTCAACCATCATCTGCCTCATGTCCTGATCTCTAGGGCATGGCCTAGTGCTTAGTCAGCTAGGGACTTCACCTTTGGCCTTGAGAACAAATCTGTACCCTTCACTGCATTCCCAAAGCCACTTTCCAATCTGACCTGGCCCTTTGTGTTTGGGTCAATACTGGTCAATCTTAAAGTCATGGACATCAGTCCCTGCTCTGAGTTTCAGAATGGCCATGGGTCACCACTTGTCTGGTCGGTCCTGCATGACTCCCACATCACCCCAGGGACTTCACACCTCTAAAACCACCCTCATCCACAGTGTAAGTGGAAATCAATGCATTTCCTCGGCCATGCTCTTGACAGAATTTATCCCTTGTCTTCAGAATTTTCAGGACCAGGAATCCTGGTTCTAGGTGTCCTAAGGCCATTATTGACCACTCAATCAGGAATTTCTCAAACCTACTTGGGTTATTATTTTCTGACACACATCTCTACATGATATCTAAAAGGTTTATGGTATTCCTCAAGCTATTGCCAGTACCTAACCTCCCCTCCTCTTTGCATCAGCTCAGGTTTCATCTGCTCTTTAGAGCCTTCCCTGAACACTCTCAGACAAAGGATCCCCAAAACCCTCAGAACATGAAATTCTAATGGTCTGGACCATTACTTTGGAACGTAACCTCTACCACATGAATTATCTTTACGTAAATGTCTGTCTTGTTTCTCCAGCTAGGGCAGAGATTAGGATCATTAGATAGTAGCTTCTTGAGAGCAAAGCCTCTTATTGTCATTTTTTAATCCCCACAATTTGCTGCACTAAATGATCTTATATATCTCCCTTACAGAGAGCCTAGCCTGTGGCCCTTACCATTAGAGATTCTCCATAAATGCTTGTCATTGGCTTTGTTGATTGCTCTATCCCTAGGCCAGCCCATATGAGCCCCCGTCTATAGGATGGGCCAATCGTAGCCTGGCTTTACCTTCCTCTCTCTCACCAGCAAAGGGCCAAGGAAACCAGAGACCTCCAAGCTTTATTAACCATATTTTTATGTGTCTTTTGGCTCACAGGTGGTGCCACCAACACAACAGAACAATTTTGACTCTCCTGAAATCTCCACCTATGAAAATTTGACCTGAAAAGAAAAGCAGGTGTTGCCTCTCTTCCTGGGGTTGGATAAGCAGCTGGACCTCATGGGACCTGGGGCTCCTGCAGACAGAAGCACTTGAGAATTTCCTTCAGAGTCTCAAAGATGTTTGGATTTGACCCTCCCCTTCCTCTCACCCCATGTGACTTCCCAAGCCCATTAATAGATCAGACATAGTCTCCTTCTTGGAGCCTCTGGGCTTCAAGTTGTCCTTGCTCCATTTGTCTCCTCGCATGCTTGTACTGTTTCCACCCCTCAGCTCAGAGGCACCACCTCAAAACTCTGCCAAGGCTGGTCAAATGTGGTTGAAGGGGATCTGGACCTTCACATCATCTTGTAAACAGCTGTTAAAATGGATCCAACAGATCTTCTAACTCATGGACACAAAGATCTGTTACCGAGCAAGGGCTCTCTCCACCTGTGTGCACAGAAGCTGATACTGTGTACACTGGTCTTTGAGGGAAGAAAGCTTATTATGCAATCAATTGGCGAGGAGACAGGAGGACGGGCTGTCAAATCTGTCTGCCCGATCCAGGGAATGGGGTAAAGTTTAAGGGATCAGGGAGGGAAGGCTGGCATGTGGAAGCCCTGGCAGGATGAGTTTTGGTTGGCAGATCAAAATTTTCTCTACTGCACGTACTCCTGGCTGGCTGGCTGCACTGAAAAGTAGCTTTAACATTCCATTCTTAGGATGAGATCAATACAGTGAACAAGGGTAAAGTTGTTATGTAGATTTAAGTCATTGCTTCTCTATGGATAAGATTTTCTAGAGATTTAGTCATCCTCTTCTTCCTGGCACAGAGAGGAAATCACCCTCACAAATGGAGATTTCTCTTATAAATGGGTAACTTCTACTAGGTTTTCAGAGCTTTCCCCTGCATCTGCTGTTTCTTAAAAATAACCAACCTAAAATAATTCTTATGCCAAAGAGTCATGTTTTAGGGTGGCAAATTCTGTTCCTGGTCCTGTGGTTAGAGATCTAGGTAAAATCATGTCCGCTGTAGGATTTTTTAAAATAAGAGATTGGAAATAACCTAAATGCCCATTTAGTAGGAATCTGGTTAAATATATGATAGTGTACCCATGCAATGACAAACCATGCCACTTTTGCAAAGAAAGGATGTAAAGACTAATGTGCTTATAGGAAATGAGCTCTAAGATACATTGTTGAGTGGAAAAAACAAAGTTCAGGACAATATGCATTATGTGCTACCAGTTCGATAAAAGGGAAATGTATATCTAGAAGCTTATATAGGCATAGAAAAGTTCTGAAAGGAAATGATACCGATCCTAGGTTCTTAGGCTCTCTGTGTAATAGAAATTGACAAGAGGCCCAACCAAGCTCTCAGCCAACGTTTTATTGGGTCTTAAGCTCCAGCACAAGGGAGATAGCACAGGAGAAGTGGCTCTCTGGCTTTCCAAAGGGAGCCGTCCTGAGTCTTTTATGGGCTGAGGGGAGTGGACTGGTGCCATGATTCTCTGCCTCCAGAGGCATTCTACTTCCCTCTTCCTGGTGGTGTCTTCCCTTGCCTTGTGGGGGTTGTGGTCCCTGCTCCTGCCCAGTCTGTCCAATATGGCAGTGTTGCTCACTACCGCCACCCCAGGAAGGTCATAAAATGGTCATCTGGGAGCTTGGTGCACATACGAGAGAGTAGGTCTACTGCTTGTGGGCAGTTTTGCTTCAGAAGGTTGCTTATCTTGACTTCAAAAACAGCTGGGCTGGGGGGCTGGCCCTGTGGCCGAGTGGTTAAGTTCGCATGCTCCGCTGCAGGCGGCCCAGTGTTTCGTCAGTTCGAATCCTGGGCACGGACATGGCACTGCTCATCAGACCACGCTGAGGCAGCGTCCCACATGCCACAACTAGAAGAACCCACAACGAAGAATACACAACTATGTACCGGGGGGCTTTGGGGAGAAAAAGGAAAAAATAAAATCTTTAAAAAAAAAAAAAACAGCTGATCTGGGAGGTGCTGGATTTGGTGGCTAAGGGTGAGGGGCAGAGTCCGGTCCCTATTCTGTCTCAGAAATACACAAAACTTATCAGTGGCTGCCTCCGGGGAGGGAACTGGCTTGGTTGCTTTTTTTTTTTTTTGAGGAAGATCAGCCCTGAGCTATCATCTGCTGCCAATTTTCCTCTTTATGCTGAGGAAGACTGGCCCTGAGCTAACATCCGTGCCCATCTTCCTCTACTTTATATGTGAGAGGTCTTCCACAGCATGGCTTGCCAAGCAGTGCCATGTCCACACCCAAAATCCAAACCGGTGAACCCTGGGCCACCAAACTGGATCGTGTGCACTTACCTCTGAGCCACTGGGCTGGCCCCTTGTTTTGGGTTTTTTTTCACATACTTTTTTGTACTGCTGAATTTTTCTTAACCATTTGTGTGTATTACTTCATTGTCATATTTTTTTAAGCGCTTAAAATGCCTCTTCCATATAAGCTTTCCATATTTACCCAGAAGAACTTCCCTCCTTATTGTCAGGTCTGCGAGCAGAACGGCCACAGAATCTCTTCTCTCCCCAAAATTGTGGCCTCAGCCCTGTCCCCTTGCCTGAAAGTTGCACTTCCCTTCGCTTATTTTCATGATGCTCTAGTGTACATTTGGGTTGCATCCGCTTGCAGCCCATTTATGTCGTTTAATGTTGTGTTTCTGTCGTCATGCTCTCCTGCACATGGTCTGTGGAGTCAGTATGTCTTCTGTGGCCTGCAATGAGTACTCCCAGGGGGCTGGGCAGTGCTTCATACGCACCAAGAGCTTTATTACTGCTTGTTCATTGGCTGGTGGTTGCATGGGTAATTATCTCTGTAGGGCATTGTGGGGGATTGGAGCTGGCTACCTGAAAATGTGTCTCTTTGACATGAGCATTATTTTGGGCTGATTGCTTTTAAAAACTGCAGACATGAGAGGAACTCTGAAAAATAGAATTTACTTACCCTTTGTAAAAGACATTTACATTTGTAAGGGAAATCTCCATCTGTAAAGGTGTCTCTCTCTCTGTATCAGGAAGAAGGGGAGATGACCTTATCTCTAAAAACCCTTATCAATGCAGAAGGCAAGGACTTAAATCTGCATAATAACCTTACTCTTATTTACTGTGCTTTCCTGGTAATCTCCCATTACTGACACCCCCCCACCCTCCAACATCCTCCTTTGTCTTTAACTGAAGATGGTATTTAAGAAGAAAGCCTCCACCGTTTGGCGAATTACTCAGTTTTCCTGAGTGTCTCCCATGTATACACGTTATAAAGCTTTGTTTGATTTTCTCCTGTTATTCTGTCTCATGTCAATTTAATTCATAGCCTGGCCAGAAGGACCTAGAGTGGGTAGCGGAAATGTCTTCCTCCCACACAGCATTATCACATAAGTTCAACAAAGACATATAATATGATGATGCTGTACTTTGTTACACTACAGACTAGGGCATCCCCAAAAGCCCTGGGCTGGTTCAAGATCTGCACAACTCAGGATACAAGAAAGGCCAGCAGCAGTCAATGGTCAGTGTCTCTAGTGTTCATCTGGATGGCTCCAACCCCCATCATTTCCTGCTCTTTCTGTTTACCACAGTACTTGACTCTGCAACTCAGCTCCCAAAATGTGCCTCAGATCCCCCAGACTCCTTTTGCTTATATTTTCCTGGTTCTTACATTTGATGCTTTCTCCAGGATATGGCCTGTTCTCAACTGTCTCCAGAATGAAGCCAGCCTGGCCAGCCACACAGCCCGCAGGGGACAGGGATCAGATGGGGCCTGAGCAAGTGCATACTATGGCCATCCTCCATGAGACTGAATGGCTCCTGGGATCTGGGGGTCTCAGAATCTACTGTTCCAGAGTGAACAAGGCTGACACATGGACAGCTCACCAGGAGGCCAGACCCTTCTCCAGCAGCAATTAGACAGACATACATTTTTTGGTGGTGCACAGTGTCCTTTGGAAAACACAGAATATGGAGGAGACATATAAATTTAATTCAGGAAAGAAATTTAGACGGCCTCTTACTAACACCACAGTTTTTTATTAAATTCATTTGTTAAATACAGACTGGGGCAGTTGAAGAACGAGTTTCCATGCAGTATCACCTGTTGGAGTCTCCGAGTAGGGCCTCTGTCAGTTCACCCTTGTCCCTTTCCTGGGCTCTGCCAGAGTCTCGGCCTGGTCCCCACAGCCTGGTGGAAAGGCCTCAAGACTCAGGAAAGCCCAGCATAGTGTCTAGTTCCCAACTGCTCAGTTGTCTGAGCCCTCCCTCCAGCATGTGCCATAGGGAGCACTCAGCAGGACACAGAACTTAATAAGATATGGTTTCTAATTGTGAAGAATTTATGAAGAAGTCAAAATAGGTTTCTAACAATGGGGTTTTGTAAATCAAATGTCACACAGTAGGCTAAGCAGGTCTCCCTGCCTAACTGTCAGGACAGCATGGGCTCAAGAGATTTTTCCGCTCAAAGATGGGATTCCTCTGCACCACCTGTTCTCGCTCCTGTCCACTCCTCCTTGTGACCAACTGGCTAAAGGGAGACGTATAATATCTGGCGGGGGAGTTTTTCCTCTGTATATGAGCAAAACCCAGGACCAGCCCCCTGGGAGAACCTGCCAGCGGCTTACGGCTAGTTAGTCCACGTTCACAGAGGGGGCTATTCCTCTTCTTCTGCGTCACCATTATCTTTCCCTCCTCTTTGTAAGACGGGCCTGGGCAAGGGGAAGGTCTAGGAATGTGGTCATCCCGGATTAGGGAGGAGGTGAAATGAGTAACAAACTAGAAAACCAGAAGGCAATCTTGATGCTAATAATAACGCCACCTTATGTTTACATAGCACTTGAAAGACTACCCAGACTTGAACTTGCTGTGTGGTCTTTTGTGAACTACCCAACCTCTCCACCCATTCTTGTCCAGTCTGTACGTTGAGAGATATTGTTTATCAGCCTTGCCCTTATAATGGCTGTTAAGAAATCATTTTCAGAAAAATATATAGAGATCATGAATGAACTCCCATATCCTCTCCAAACTAGAAACTGTTCTGTAGAGATTCCTGTGGCATCATTCACTGCACTGATTCCCAGTGCATGCTGGGATGTAAGAGAGGTGAGAGCAGCT